CCCCAAAACCCCAAAACCCCAAAACCCCAAAACCCCTCATGAATACTTATGATTTGAGTCGTAACATAAAATAAAATAATATTCTGAGCTAAAATGGAATCTTCACCTGCTACCAAAATGATTTATAGGTACCTTGGCAATTCTGGGATTAAGGTGTCCCTGCTTTCAATGGGTACAATGCTTGTAGATTACTCTACAGAGAATGAAAAAACTTGGCTGGAATGTGCTAAATACGCCAAAGAAGCAGGAGTTAACTACTTTGACTCTGCAGAGATGTATGGGTATGGTAAAGGAGATGAACTCCTTGGCAGAGCCATTAAAGAGAACGAATGGAGAAGGGAAGACCTTGTTATTGCAGTAAAGGTCTTCTTTGGCAATAACGTCAATGCTATTGGGCTCTCAAGGAAATAAAATTATCGAAGCAACGAAATCTTCATTAAAAAGAATGGATTTAGAATACTGAGACATAGTATATGCACATACATTTGATCCAGAGACTCCTTTGGAGGAAACGTGTAGAGCATTTAATTGGTTGATCAAGAAAGGATATGCTCTCTATTGGGGCACCTCCTCCTGGCCTGAAGACATCATAATGAAAGCTATCAAGCTGTGTGATGAGAAGGGATGGGACAGACCTATCGTCGAGCAGTGTAAATATAACTGCTTAACCAGAGATAAGGTAGAGAAAGGATATGAAAGACTATCAGAGGAATATGGATATGGCTTTGCAGCAAGATCTTCTCTTGCTAGTGGAATCCTTTCCGGAAAATACAACAATGATACAATCCCAAAAGACTCAAGATTTGGGAAAAATGAATCGCTGAAAGAGATAGCTTGGCTAAAATATTTCCCAGAAGAAACAAAGGACGAAACTTTAGAAGCCTTGAAAAAGTTTTCAGACTTAGCAGAGGAGAACAAAGCGACTCCATCTCAACTAGCTTTAGCATGGATAACTTCAAACAAAGATATCCATACATGAATTTTTGGAGCCTCTAGTCTAGATCAATGAAAAGAAAACTTAGATTCTCTTGAAACTACAGTAAATTGGAATGAGGATCTTGAAAAGAAAGTTAACGAAATCTTTAAAAACCAGCCAATCCCAGGATTCGATGCCAAAAAATGGAGCTTGATGCCACCAAGAAGAGACCAAAGACTCAACCTGGAACTCAAACTCGGTGAAATCCAGTACAAGTCTGATTATGTGTAACTCAGTAGGTTATAATAGATTTTCAGTTTAAAAATGAATTAAAGGGGTTTTGGGGTTTTGGGGTTTTGGGGTTTTGGGG